CAACCCAACTTCAATCTCAACTCAACCCCAACTCAACATCAACTCAAAATCAACTCAACATCAACCTCAATCTCAACTCAACATCAAGGTCAACTCAACTCAACCCCAACTCGACATCAACTCAAAATCAATTCAACGGCAACTCAACTTCATCCCAACTCAACCCCAACTCAATCTCAACTCAACGTCAACTCAAAATCGACCCAATTTCAACCTCAATCTCAACTCAACGTCAAGATCAACTCAACTCAACCCCAACTCAACATCAACTCAACCTCAACCCAACTTCAACCTCAAGCTCAACCCAACGTCAACTCAATGGCAACTCAATGGCAACAGCAAGTCAACCCCAATTCAATGGCAACTCAATGTCAACCCAAATCAATCTCAATCTCAACTCAACGGCAACGCCAACTCGACCCCAACTCAATGTCAACTCAACTCAACCTCAACTCAACGTCAACCCAATGTCAACCTCAAGCTCAACTCGATGTCAACACCAACTCAATCCCAACTCAACGGAAACTCAAAATCAACCCAACTCAACCTCAACCTCAAGTCAACGCCAATATCAACTCAACATCGATGTCAACCCAACTCAATCTCAATCTCAACTCAATGTCAACTCAACGTCAACCCAACTTCAACCTTAATCAAAACTCAACCTCAACACCAACTCAATCCCAACTCAACAGCAACTCAATGTCAACCTCAACTCAACCCCAACTCAACGGCAACATCGACGTCAACCCAACTCAACCTCAACTCAATCTCAATCTCAACTCAATGTCAACCCAACATCAACGTCAGCCCAACTCAACCTCAACTCAATCTCAATCTCAACTCAACGTCAACGTCAACCCAACCCCAACTCAACGTCAACTCAACTCAAACTGAACGGCAACATCGATGTCAAGCCAAGTCAACCTCAACCTCAACTCAGTGGCAACGTCAACCCAACATCGATGTCAACCCGACACCGATATCAACTCAACCCCAACTCAAGCCCAAGGTCAACCCAACCCCAACATCTCAAGTCAACGTCAACCCCAACCTCAACTCAAACTTGACCCCAACTTCAACCTCAACATCAACGTCAAGGTCAATGGCAACTCGATGTCAACTCAACCCCAAACTCAAACTCAACCCAACCCCAACTCAACCCCGACCTCCCAACTCGCCCGCGACCCCCACCCGGCCGCGGGGCCCCTCCGGCACCTCCGGGGCCGGAACCCCCCCCATAAACGCCGGGCAGAGGCCCCTCACCTGCTGCAGGAACATCTGCATGGACTCCTGGCCCAGGACGGCGCCGGGCGCGGCCGCGGGGCCCAACAGGATCTTCTCGGGGCTTCCGGCGAGCCCCGGGCTGGGCTGGGAGTTCCCCCCGGCCGCCGCCGGCACGTTGAGCTGCAGCGGCGCCGCGGTGGCGGGCGCGGCGGGCTGGACGGTGAGGACGGAGGCCGGGTCGGCGCCGGGGCTGGGGCTGGCGCCGGGGGCGGCGCCGGGGGCCGCCTGGATGCTGACGGCGGCTCCCAACCCGTCGCCGGCGTTGAGCATCACCTGGTTGGCCAACGTCACCCCTTGGATCACCGTGGGCGCTGCCGCCGCCGCCGCCTGGCTCTGGCTGGGCAACGTCCCCGCCAGCGACACCGGCATCTGGAAGAGCGCCGGCTGCCCCACCTGGCCCGGTTGGAGCTGGATGGGCGCCGACAGGATGTGGGCGGTGCCGTGGGCGTTGGGCGACGTCAGCACTTGCCCGAGGTTGAGCTGCCCGGCCAGGTTCTGGTTGGTGAGGATCTGCGCCGGCAGCGCCTGGTTGGCGATGAGCTGCGCGGCGGCGGCGGCGCCGGCGGCGCCCTGGCCGGCGATGATGCCGGCGCCGTGCGAGGCCGCCAGGATCTGGCCGCCCACGTTGGCCGGCAGCGCCGAGAGCGGCTGCGGCAGCTGCACGGCCGAGGCTCCGGCCAACTGCCCCGGCAGCAGGAACTGGTTCTGGCCCTGGAAGTGCTGCGCCGGGATGACGATGCTGCCGCCCTGGTTGAGCACGTGGACGCTCATGGACTTGCCCAGCGCCGCCGCCGTCGCCGCGGCCGGCGCCGGTTGGGGCGGCGGCGGCTTGAAGACGTTGGGGGGGAAGCCCGAGAGCACCACGTTGGGCGCGGCCTTGCCGGCCATGAAGGTCAGGTTCTGCTGGGGCTTGGCCTGGGCCTCGCCGGGCAGCGCCAGCGCGTTGTTGGGGGCGAAGGGCTTGGGCGTGATCTGGTAGAGCTTCTGCTGGAGGACGCCGGCGGGTTTGGGCTGGATGGGCGTGGGCGTGCGGTGGATGATGACGTTGGGCGCCGGCACCAGGGAGCCGCCCAGGCCCGAGGTGACGGCCAGGGGCTGCGGCGGCGCCGCCGGCGAGGCCACGCCGCCGAACACCGAGTTGCCGTTGAGGGCGGTGGTGGCCACGGCCGGGAGGCTCTTCTGGATGACCAGGCCGGCCCCGGCCTGCGACGCCGCCGCCGCCGCCTCGGGCTGAGCGATGTAACCGCCCACGGCCGCCACCGGCGCCGGTTTGGCCAACAGCTGCGGCGCCGCCGGCTGGTTGATGGCCATCACCTGCTGGCCCACCACCTGGATGGGCCCGATGCCCAGAGCGCCGCCGGGGCTCCCGTTGGGCAGCCCGGGCAGGTTGGGCAGGGGTTGGATGGTGACGTTGCCCAGCCCCACCTGCTGCAGGAAGGGCTGGACGCTGATGGCCTTGTTGACCACGTCGGCGCCCACCGGCTGCTGCACCAGGGCCTGGTGGGCCAGCACGGCGGGCGGTTGGAGGCCCAGCAGGTCGGCGGCGCCGGCGGCGCCGGAGAAGATCTGGGGGGTCCCGTCGGGCGCCTGCACCACGGGCTGCAGTGCCGGCAGCTGGAAGGAGCCCAGGTCCAGCTCGGCCTCGGCCTCCAGGGTCTGCTCGGTGATGTTGGCCTCCTGCAGGCTCTGCTGGAGGATGTCGCACGGCTGCTCGGCGCCGGCGCCGGCGCCCGAGGGGGAGCCCAGGATGTCATCCTCCAGGAAGTCCAGGTCCACGCTGGCCGGCGGTTGGCTCGGCTCCGCGCTCAGCGGGTTCCCCGAGGGCTCCTGCCCGTGGAGCTGCGGCAACGGAGACGGGGACGGGAGGTCAGAGAGGGGGGGATGTGACAGAGTGCGACGGGACTCGACAGAAATCACCCGGTGAAAGTCAACGAAAGTCAACAAAAACTCAAGGGAACTCAAGGAAACTCAACCAAACTCAACGGAAACTCAACCAAACTTCACCAAACTCAATGGGAACTCAACGGAAACTCAACCAAACTCAAGGAAACTCAACCAAACTCAACCAAACTCAATGGAAATTCAATAGAAACTCAACTCAACCAAACTCAACCAAAACTCAACCAAACTACACCAAACTCAATGGAAATCCAAACAAAATTCACCAAACTCAACCAAACTCATTGGAAACTCAATAGAAACTCAACAAAACTCAAAGAAGCTCAAGGAAACGTCACCAAACGTCACCAAACTCAATGGAAACTCAACAGAAACTCAACGAAACTCAACCAAAACGCAACCAAACTTTACCAAACTCAACCAAACTAAATAGAAACTCAACTCAATGAAACTCAACCAAACTCAATACAAACTCATGGAAACTCAACCAAACTTCACCAAACTCAAGGGAAACCCCAACAAAAACTCAACTCAATAAAACTCAACAAAACTCAACCAAAACTCAACCAAACTCATTGAAAACTCAATAGAAACTCAACCAAAAGTCAACAGAAACTCAAGGAAAATTCGCCAGAATTCACCCAACCAAACTCAACCAAATCCCCCCAAAACTCAACCAACCCAAACTCAAGGAAAACTCAACCAAATCTCACCCAACCAAACTCAACCAAACTGTACAAAACTCATCCAAACTCAACCAAACCTCAACCAAACTCAACCAACCCAAAACAAGGAAAACTCAACCAAATCTCACCCAACCAAACTCAACCAAAAGTCAACCAAACTCAACAAAACTCCACCAAACTCAACCAACCCAATTTCATGGAAAATTCCCCAAATCTCATCCAACCAAACTCAACCAAACTCAACCAACTCAACCAAAACTCAACCCAACTCAACCAACTCAACCCAACTCAACCAACTCAACCAAACTCCTCCAAACTCCTCCAAACTCCAGAATTTTTGGGCCTTCCGGCTCCGAACCGCCAGAATTCCGGGTTTTCCCTCTCCAAAATCTCCAGCTCGGAGGGACAAGGAGGGTTTTGGGGAAATAAAGGGGAAAATCCCGCGGGAAAAGGGGGGAAAATGGGAAAAAAAATTCCAACTCGCGGTCGGGCCGGAGCCGGCAGGAAAAGGGGAAATCCCGGGAAAAGGGGAGGATTTCTGGGATAACTGGGTTGGGATTGGGCTGAAAAGCAAAAGAGGAAAAATAAAACTAAAAGGAAAAAAAAAATTGGGATCAAAACAAAAACTCGGGATTTTTTTAGGAGGAAAAAACGACCCCGAACGAAAGAAAATTCCAGGGAAAAACCGGGAAAACTGAGGGAAAACTCAAGGGAATAAACAAGCAGGGATCATGCTCGTTCTCCATGCACAGCATTCCAGGTTTTTGGGGGAAAAGGAGGGAAAAAAGGGCGTTTTCCGGCTCTAATTCCGGGTTTATTCCGGATTTTCCACCCCCCTGCTCCGGGGGGGCTCCGGAGGAATTGGGAGAAACGGGATTTTTCTCCCCAGGAACGGAGTTTTCCAGGGGTTTCCCAAGTTTCCAGGATTCCTGGGGTTCCTCCTTTCTCCCTTTTCCATCCCGGGTTTTCTCCCGGAGCCGAATCCGTCGGGAAAAGCGGCTCCAAAGTTGAATAAATATCTTTAGTTTTGCCCTTAAATCGACGGATTTTGGGATTTTATCCCGGGAAATCCCAGGGAAAAATTCCCGGGGTTTTGCCTGTTTGTCCAGCCCCAGGAAAGGGATGGAATTCCACTCGGGAAAGGCCAAAAAAACTGGGAAAAGCGGGAAAAGGGAGTGGGAATACCTACCCCAGCACCTTCAAAAAAGGCACTGGCAGCATCTCCTGAGTTGTCCAGGAGATCATCACTGTCAATCTGGAATTAAAAACACGGGATTTATTGGGATTTACTGGGAGAAAGGGGGGAAAAAAACATGGAAAAAAAAAGGGAGAAAATGGGAAAAAAAATGGGAAAAAATGAGGAAAAATGGAAGAAAAATGGGGGAAAAATGGGAAAAAAATGGGGGAAAAATAGGTTAAAAAATGAAAAAAAATGAGAAAAAAATGGGGAAAAATGGAGGAAAAATGAGAAAAAAATGGGGAAAAAAATGGGGAGAAAATGGGAAAAAAATGGAGAAAAAATGAAAAAAAATGGAAAAAATAGAGAAAAGAAATGGAGAAAAATGGGAAAAAAAGTGAAAAAAAATGGGAAAAAAATAGAAAAAATGAGAAAAAATTGGGGAAAAAAATGGGAAAAAATGAGAAAAAATGGAATAAAATGGGGAAAAAATAGGGAAAAAATGGAATAAAATGAGAAAAAAAATGGGAAAAAATGGGAAAAAAATGGGAAAAAAGGAGGGGAAAAATGAGAAAAAAAATGGGAAAAAATGGGGGGAAAAATGGGGAAAAATGAGAAAAAAATGGAGAAAAAATGAGGAAAAAAAATGGGAAAAAAACCTGGGATTGCAAAGGAAAAGTGGGATGTGGTGGTGGGTGAGGGGCGGCCCCTCCGCTTCCAAATGGCCCCAAATCCCTCCGGGCTGGCGGGAAAAATTCCTAAAAAACCCCAAGTGGGCTGGAAAAAGTCGGGATGGATGGAAAGGGGGGGATGGGATGGAAAACGAGGGGAGTTTTGGGGGGAAAAAAGGGAATTTTGGGGGGTTTTGGGTCTTTCTCACCTTCTCGGATCCATGTAAAAAATCGTTCAGGGCCTGAGGATCGCTGGGAAAAAAACGGGAAAAGAGGATTAGGGAGCGGAATTCCGGGATTTGGGAGATGGGGGGGGAATTCTGGGGGGGTTTTCCCGGGGAGGATCCCAAAATTCGGGATTCTGGGGGTGCTCCCGGGGGGTTTTGGGATGGTTTTCACCCTTTTTGGGACATTCCCGGAGTTTTTTGGGATATTTCCCAACTTTTTTAGGACGTTTCCCGCTTTTTGGGGGAGTTTCCAGCCCTTTTGGGGGCATTTCCAGCCTTTTCTGGGACATTTTCCAGAGTTTTCCGGATGTTTTTCACCCTTCTGGGACGTTTTCCGTGGATTTTGGGACATTCCCAGCCCTTTTTGGGAGCTTTTCCTGCCCTTCCAGGGTCATTCCCGGCCCTTTTTAGGATCTTTTCCAGTGGTTTTGGGACGTTTCCAAATATTTCCAGGACAATTCCCACCTTTTCCAGGACAATTCCCACCTTTTTCAGGACATTTCCCACCCTTTTAAGGACAATTCCCACCTTTTCCAGGACCTTTCCCACCCTTTCCAGGACAATTCCCACCTTTTCCAGGACAATTCCCACCTTTTTTGGGCCGTTTTCCCCCTGTTTTGGGCCATTTCCAGCCGGTTTTGGGACCTTTCCCACCTTTTCCAGGACAATTCCCACCTTTTCCAGGACAATTCCCACCTTTTTTAGGCCATTCCCAGCCCGTTTTGGGGTGTTTTTCCCCCATTTTGGACCATTTTCCCCCCGTTTTGGGGCCATTTCCAGCCGGTTTTGGGACCTTTCCCACCCTTTCCAGGACAATTCCCTCCCTTTTCCAAGACAATTCCCACCTTTCCAGGACAATTCCCACCTTTTTTGGGCCGTTCCCAGCCCGTTTTGGGTCGTTTTCCCCCCTTTTTGGACCATTTTCCCCCCCATTTTGGACCATTTTCCCCCCATTTTGGGCCATTTCCAGCTGGTTTTGGGACCTTTCCCGCCTTTTCCAGACCCTTTCCCACCTTTTTTTTGGGAATTCTGCCCCCCCCAGGACTCACCAGATGACATCGAGGAGGCACCGCCCGTCTTCATCATCCATGTCAACTGCAAACATGGACACAAACTGTTACTTTTCCAGGGAAAAACACGGAAAACCCGGGAATTCCAGGATGATCCGGGGCCCTTTTCCCTCTTTCCCTCAGCCCTGGGCAGGGATTGGTGGGAAAGTTGGGATAAAACCCCCGGAAAACGGGAAGAGGAACCAAGAGCTGTGGGTTTTTCCTGGTTTTTTTGGGAGGGAATTCCAAGGAAAATGAGGGATAACGGGGAGGGAAAATGGGATGAGGAGGGAATTCCTTAAGGAATCCATCAGGGAATGGGGTTCCTGTAGGAATTCCTGAGGGAATTGGGGCCTCTGGGAATCCCTCAGGGAAAGGATTGATCCTGAAATTCCCAAAGGAGCTGATTCCTCAGGAATTCCATCCAGGAAAGGATTGATCCCAAAATTCCCAAAGAAGTTTATTCCTCAAAAAATCCAGGCAGGAAAAGATTCCTCTGGAAAACCCTCAGGGAACGGATTCCTTTGGGAATTTCTTTGGGAAAGGATTTGTCGGGAAAGGATTGGATTGATCCCGAAATTCCTCTGGGAAAGGGATTGATCCCAAAATTCCTCCAGGAACTGATTCCTCAGGAATTCCAGCAGGGAAAGGATCAATCCCAAAATTCCCAAAGAAGCTGATTCCTCAAGAAATCCGGGCAGGAAAAGATTCCTCTGGAAAACCCTCAGGGAATGGATTCCCTTGGGAATCTCTTCGGGAAAGGATTGGATTGATCCCGAAATTCCTCCGGGAACAAACTGATCCCTAAATTCCCCAGGGAAGGAATTGATCCCAAAATCTCTCCAGGAACTGATTCCTCAGGAATTCCAGCAGGGAAAGGATTGATCCCGAAATTCCTCAGGGAAGGGATTGATCCCAAAATTCCTCCAGGAACTGATTCCTCGGGAATTCCAACAGGGAAAGGATCGATCCCAAAATCCCTCTGGGAACAAACTGATCCCTAAATTCCCCAGGAAAAGATTGGATCGATCCCGAAATTCCTCTGGGAATAAAGGGATCCCGAAATTCCTCAGGGAAGGGATTGATCCTTAAATCCCTCCAGGAGCTGATTCCTCAGGAATTCCAGCAGGGAAAGGATTGATCCCAAAATCCCCCCTGGAACGGATTCCTTTGGGAATCCCCTAAGGAAAAAATTCCCCAGGAATTCCAGCAGGGAAAGGATCAATCCCAAAATCCCTCCAGGAAGGAATTGATCCCAAAATCCTTCTGGGAACAAACTGATCCCGAAATTCCCCCAGGGAAGGGATTGATCCCTAAATTCCCCTGGGAACTGTTCCCTCAATAAATCCATGAGGGAAAGGATCGATCCCAAAATCCCCCTGGAACAGATTCCTTTGGGAATCCCCTTAGGAAAGGATTCCCCAGGAATTCCAGCAGGGAAAGGATTCCTCAGGAATTCCAGCAGGGAAAGGATCAATCCCAAAATCCTCCCTGGAAGGAATTGATCCCGAAATCCCTCAATAAATCCATGAGGGAAAGGATCGATCCCAAAATTCCTCCAGGAAGGGATTGATCCCAAAATCCCTCTGGGAATTGATCCCTCAATAAATCCATAAGGGAAAGGATTGATCCCAAAATCCCTCCAGGAAGGAATCAATCCCAAAATCCCCCAATAAATCCATGAGGGAAAGGATCGATCCCAAGTTCCCCGTGGGAATGGATTCCTTTGGGAATTCCAGCAGGGAAAGGATTGATCCCAAAATCCCTCTGGGAGGAGCTTTATCCCAAAATCCCGGAATCCCTGAAGGAGCCCTCGGGAATCCCCCCCTCCCCCCCCCTTCCCATTCCCAAGGAAACGGCCCCAAATACGGGGAAAACAAACAATTCCAAGGATTCCTGGGCTTTTTTTGGGAGAAGCCTAAAAAAAGGAACCGAGCAGATTCCGAACATTCCAAGCCCCGAACGGGAGAAATTCCCGCTTTTCCCAGAGAAATTCCCACTTTTCTGGGAGAAATTCCCACTTTTCCCCCCCATCCCGAGTATTCCCGAAGCTCAGCAATTCCCCAAATCCCAATTTCCCGAGATTCCCACCAAAATCCAAGGAAGGGGGAGGAGAAAACGAGACCAAAGTGCCCCCAAAAAAACGGGAAAAAAGTCGGGAATATTTTGGGATTTGGCGCCTCAAGGAAATCCGGGAATTCCAGACCCGGATCCAGGGGAATTCGGGCTGGGAAAAGTGGGATTAAAGCCTTGAATTCACCCAGAATTCCAAGAAAATTCCTGGTGGGGCTCCTGTCCTCGTGATTTCCTTGGGAAAAGCCTCTGGAGGCTCCTAAATTCCGGGTTTTCCCGGCGGTTTTCCGGCCCCATTCCTGATTTTCTCAGCTCCCTGTGGAATTCTCAGCCTCAAATCCCGGGATCCAGGGAAGGGAAAACCTGGAATTCCCAAATTCTGGGATCCAGGGAAGGGGAAAACCCGGGATTCTCATCCCAAAATCCCCCTTTCTCATCCCAAATTCCAAAGGAGATTCCCAGAAAAACATCCCGGGGTGGGGGGGGGGGATTTGAGGCTCTTCCCAGGCTGGGAAAATGTGGGATTGGGAAGAAACCGGCCTGGAAAAGGGGGATTTTCCAGGGAAACGGGAATTCCAGGGTGGGATTTTCCAGGAAAATGGGAATTCTGGGACAGGATTTTCCATGAAAACGGGAATTTCGGGGTGGGATTTTCCATGAAAATGGGGATTCTGGGATGGGATTTTCCAGGAAAATGGGGATGATGTGACACAACTTCCCCAATCCCAACTTTTCCTCCCGGGATACTTGGGAAGTTCCTGGAAAATAATCTGGGAATACTCCAGGAGTGCTCCAGGAATCCATGGGAGATACTCCAGGAATATTCTGGGAATACTCTGGGAATTCTCTGGGCTGGTTGTCCCCTCCCCCCCCAGGTTCCTGCTGGAATTCCCAATTCTTGGAATGTTGGTTCTCCCCCCTCGGGGAGCGAAGAAAACCCCAGGAATGGCCCCGGAAATCCCGGGATTTGGGGAATTCCCAGGAGGGAACGGAGGGGAAATGGCCCCGACGGAGCTGGAAAACTGGGATGAGTTCGAGAGAGAACTGGGATAAATCCCGGATAAAACTGGGATGAGGCCAAGAGACAACTGGGAGAAAACTGGGATAAATCCCAGATAAAACTGGGATGAGCCCGAGATAAATAGGAGACAAAACTGGGATAAATCCGGGATGAACCCGGGATGAATCCAAGATAAAGTCAGGATAAATCCAGGATAAAACCAGGATGAATCTGGGATAAAACCGGGATGAATCCAGGATAAATTCGGGATAAAAGCGGGATGAATCCAGGATAAAACCAGGATGAATCTGGGATCAAACCGGAATGAATCCAGGATAAAACCAGGATAAATCCAGGATAAATCCAGGATAAAACAGGGATGAATCCAGGATAAAATTGGGATAAAACCGGGATGAATCCAGGATAAAACTGGGATGAATCCAGAATAAAATCAGGATAAATCTGGGATCAAACCGGGATGAATCCAGGGTGAATCCAGGATAAAACCAAGATAAATTTGGGATAAATCCAGGATACAACTGGGATAAATCTGGGATCAAACCAGGATAAATTTGGGATAAATCCAAGATACAACTGGGATAAACCTGGGATAAAACCCAGATGAATCTGGGATCAAACCAGGATAAATTTGGGATAAAACAGGAACAAATCCAGGATGAATCCGGGATAAATCCAGGATACAACTGGCATAAATCTGGGATCAATTTGGGATGAATCCAGGATAAATCCAGGATGAATCCAGAATAAAACCAGGATAAAAACTGGTATAAAACAGGAATGAATCCAGGGTGAATCCGGGATAAAACTGAGATAAACCTGGGATAAATCCGAGATACAACTGAGATAAATCTGGGATAAAACCAGGATGAATTTGGGATCAAACCAGGATAAATTTGGGATCAAACCGGGATGAATCCAGGGTGAATCCGGGATAAAACCAAGGTAAATCCGGGATAAATCCAGGATACAACTGGGATAAATCTGGGATCAAACCAGAATAAATTTGGAATAAAATCGGGATGAATCCAGAATAAAACCAAGATAAATTTGGGATAAATAGGAACAAATCCAGGATGAATCCAGGATAAAACCAAGATGAATTCAGATAAATCCAGGATACAACGGGGACAAATCTGGGATAAATTTGGGATAAAACTGGGATGAATTCGGAATAAAACCAGGGTAAATCTGGGATAAACCAGGAATGAATCCAAGACGAATCTGGGATAAAACCAAGATAAATCCGGGATAAATCCAAGATAAATCTGGGATAAATCTGGGATAAAACCAGGATAAATTTGGGATAAATCTGAGATACAACTGGGATAAATCCATGATAAATTTGGAATGAATTCAAGATAAAACTGGGATAAACCTGGGATAAATCCAAGATACGACTGGGATAAATCTGGGATCAAACCAGAATGAATCCAGGATAACTTTGGGATAAAACAGGAACAAATCCAGGATAAATCCAGGATACAACTGGGATAAATCTGGGATCAAACCAGGATGAATTTGGGATAAATCTGGGATCAAACCAGCCTAAATTTGGGATGAATCCGGGATAAATTTGGGATGAATCTGGGATAAATTTGGGATGAATCCGGGCTAAATTTGGGATAAATTTGGGATAACTGGGGGCAGGGGAGCGAATGAAGACGGGAGAGAACCGGGAGAGCAACGAGCCGGAGTTTATTGGGAATTCCAGGGGGTTTATTGGGATTGTGGAATTCCAGGGAGTTTGTTGGGATCAGTTGGAATTTTGGGGGGTTTGTTGGGATCGGGGAATTTCAGGGGGGGGATTTTGGGATCGGGGAATTCCGGGGGGTTTGTTGGGATCGGGGAATTCCGAGGGGGGGGGAATTTTGGGATCAGGGAACTCCAGGGGGGGGATTTTGGGATCGTGGAATTCCAAGGGAGGGGAATTTTGGGAAGAGTTTTTGG